GAGCCGCTGCTGCCCGCCGGCCTGGGCTCCGTGCGCTCCTGGATGCAGGGCGCGGGCATTCTGGACGCCAGCACCGCGGCGCAGAGGTAAGCGGGCGGACGGGACCTGGAGCGCGGGTTGGGCGGCTTCGCTCTGCTGGGGCTCTGCTGGCTCAGCTGCTGGGGCGCGGGGTGGGGGAACCCAAACTCTGGACAATTAAGACCAGCTCTCCCGCCCACCCTGTCCCGCGCGCCTCGGCAGCCTCCTGAGGATGCGGGGCGGGGCTTGAGCCTCCACTCCGTGCTGTCCCGACACTGACTTCTGTCACTCGCGGGGCGCGGCCGTGAACGCCCCCTGGCCATGCTGTGCACAGTCTGGAGGAAGTCTCTCCGCTGCCTGCAGTCCCTGGGCCTTGACCCAGCTGTGGAAGGAACTTGACCAGCTGTGCAAAGAACTGCCATTCCTCCTTTTGGGCAGAGCCCCTCTTTTCCTGATCCAGTTCCGTAGCTTCTCTTTCCTTTCCCACGCCCCTCGGAATTGGAGGGTGCGAGTGCGCAGACAGAGGAGTCGAATGGGGCAGGACCGCTAAGGCCAGTCTCTCCCCTGGACGTGTTTCTGGTGGGTCCCGCTGGAGGCGGGCCCTTGGGAGCCCTGCATCCTCACCAGCCTCTTCAGACTCTTTTTAGGGGTCTGGGCTGGTTGCCTTTGAAAGAATTTTAAACACTTGTCAAACCACCCTGTCACATCACCGGGACTCTTGGCGTTTTGTACCGACAGCTGTGAGTCCTGGTAGCAGGGTATTGAGACAGCCCATGGAGAGCTCACCCTTGGCTGGACTAGGGAGGTGCCGACTCTGGAGGCTGCTGGGCAGAGTGGGAGGTCTGAGAGCTCGCTATCTGAACAGCTTCTGACAGGGGGATTGTCCGGGCACCTCAGCCACAGTTCTCATTCTCAGCCCTATCTCCCCCTTGGACCCAGTCTCCTCTTCTCTCTCCTCTCTTCTCTCTCTCTCCCCCTTCTCTCTCTCCTCCCTTCTCTCTCTCTCTCTCTCTCTCTCTCTCTCTCCCCCCCTCCTCCCTTCCTCCCTCCTTTCTCCTTTTTCTCGCTCTCCCCCCTTCCTTCCTCTCTCTTCCCCGCTTCTCTTTCGCCCTTGTTCTTTCTCTCCCTCTCTCACCCTCTCCCTTTCTCTCCTTGGTTAATGCCCATGAAACCCTGTCCCTGTACTTGTGCTCTTAAGGAGCATCCCCAGGGCTTCAATCTGGGGTTCTTCTATTCCGGACCAGAAAGGATCCTGCAAATCAATCCATTTCCCTGAGGTTTTCCCCCAAGTAATAAAACTATATTTCAGGAAAATAGGAAACAAAATTGTACCTCTCTAACACTTCGTATCCACTTCTTAGCGTCTCTCATTGCCATCATTCTCCCCATAGACATATTTTCTCTGCGCTGTGTACACACTGCTGCTTTTTCTTGGTCTGGGTGTTGTGGTTTGTTTTTGTTTTTCAGTTTAACTTGTGATGGTCACTGTGATTCCCCCATCTTCATGTCCACAACTGGCTGTGTGGCACAGTAGGTGGGGAGGTTTAATCTGATTCTGAGATTTAAAGTTCCTTTCCCTCTGAGTCCACCAACCAACAGCTCCTCAAAAGAAAGATGGGCAGTCTCCCCCCATGTGATTTACAGGCTCAGAAACCCAATGGAGGGTTGCTACATATTGATTCTGACTGGAGGGCAGTAAGATTCCTCTCTGAGAAGATTTGGTGGTGTGGCATCCAGTGTGTTGTGTTAACCAAAGGTCAGCTGTCTGAATCTATTAGCTGCTTCTCATGTGAGAAATGGATAGTCTATTATAAAAATACACTGCCTTGGAAAACCAATGTAGGGTCACTATGAATTGGAATAGACTTGACAGCTATGGGTCCTATTCCTTTCTGATCTAACCCTCTGCTCCTATCTAAGCCAGCAGGTTTGATGGTGTGGGGGAGATTTGAAGGAGGTGGTGCCCTTGTGGTCTGTGTGGGGTGCAGGAAGTATAGGGATAATGTTGAGGCTGCCAACAGTATTGAGATTGGCTTTCCATCTCAGCAGCCCTGAGGGCTTCCTCGATTTGAATAGGGCCATTTCATTGGGCTTGTGCTGCTCATCCCCACATCTGGAGACATCTCTGTCTCTACTTACAGACTGGGGACCCCACATGTTAGGCAGGAGAGCACTCTAACCCTCTCTCCTCCTTGTGATGTTGCCTGCCATTTCTCCCAATTTATCTTGACCCTTAGTCAACCCTCTGCTTAGATCTTTGTACCCTAAAACAACAATCTCTTTCTGTTCCCACCGCCCACTTCAATCTCTCTGATATTTGTCTCTGAAAAAAATCTCAGTAGTATGCACCCACCACCATCATTACCACTTTCTCCACTACCACCACCACCACCACCATCACCACCACCATTATCACTACCATCACCACCACCACCACCACCACCGCCATTATCACTACCATCACCACCACCACCATCATCACCACCACCATCACCACCTCCACCTCCACCACCAGCACCACTATCACCATCACTACCACCACCATCACCACGACCACCACTGCAACCACTATCACCACCACCACTACAACCACTACCATCACCATCACCACCACCACTACCATCACCACCACAACCACCACCATCACCACCACAACCACCACCATCACCACCACCACCACT